AGGTAGATAATAATAGATCATAAAACAAACTAAAAATCTACAGATAATTATTTTGGATCGTAGGAAACCAAACTAATGGGGAAAAACAAGTGAAATCATGTTTGCGGCAAGATTCAAGATCAATTGTAGATAAACCAAGAAAGATACAATTAAAAGGGCAATCAAGCAATTTGCAAAAGAGAGGAAGAAAGAATAAAATATGAACAAAAGAAAACACAAAAAGAAAAAAAAAATATGAACAATAAACACCTGAAGAAGAGAAAAAAAAAATCAAGGCTTTATTCTCTTGAAGTCCAAATACAAGTTTCAGTGTTTCCCCTTTCTCCCTCTCAACTCTTGGATCTCTTTTCCTCCATCTTCCCCTTGTAAAGCCAAAGGCCCCCTTTTATAGACAAAGAGAAAAACCCAATTCTATTGCATTTCTAATTTCCAATGCAAATCCCTAAGATAACAACCCAATCCTATTTGGAATGGGATTTCTTAGTTCTTTCCACATCTACCCCTTTTAAGTCTAAATTAATACCTTTTATGCATTAGGACTCCCACCTTGAATCAATTTCGAACTCTTTGGAGTTGATGACTTACGGTTTGTACGTCCTTATCCAAATCCTTCGATTGGTTGAGCTTATCTTCAAAGAAATACCTTTGGCATTGTGTTGGAGTTAATGAGAGGGGAGGTGCGGCAGAAAAAACAAGGAGGCTAGGGTTCAACTGAAAACCCAGCCTTTTATTTTTTAACCCATCGACAAAATGACGCCTTTTTGCCATTTCCTCTTCTTAACCCTTTCAAGTTTTCAGCTTTACAAAAATAGTCCATTGACTTCTAATTTTATCATTTAGCCCCTCAATAAAAATTTGGTTATGACAACTTGTATTCTTACAAATGATATGGTACAGAAAAGAATAGAAATATTACATATCTTACAGTGTGTTAACACCAAAAAATAAAGAAGATGGTGTGGAACCAAGTATTTTATTGATCAAGAATGGAGAAAGTTTACAATAAAGAGAGAATGAAAAAAAAAATAATCTCTTGGCCTAGGTTTAACATTGGGGATTTATAGGATATTACATTGAATCACCCTAGGATTACAATTCTACTTGGGTTGTTGTTTGGGTATTCTAGTTCTAGTGGGATTTAACCTATTTAATCTTGATAAGACCTTTTTTGGATGTCTCCACGTGTCCTAATTCTTATAG